ACGTCCTTTCTGCCACCATAATACTGTCCTTGACTAACGATGCCACAGCTCCCCCTCTTTTACCACCTTCCCTGATCTTACTGAAACATCTAAACACCGGAACCTGCAACAACCATTCCTGTCCTTGCTCTATCCATGTCTCCGAAATGGCCACAACATCGAAGTCCCAGGTACCAACCCATGCTGCAAGTTCGCCCACCTTATTCCGGATGCTCCTGGCATTGAAGTAGACACACTTCAAACCACCTTCCTGCCTGCCGGTACACTCCTGCGACCTTGAAACCTTTTTCATGACCTCATTACTCTCAACCTCCTGTACACTGGAGCTACAATTCAGGTTCCCATCCCCCGGCTGAATTAGTTTAAACCCTCCCGAAGAGCATTAGCAAATTTCCCCCTCAGGATATTGCTACCCCTTTGGTTCAGGTGTAGACCATCCCGTTTGTACAGGTCCCACCTACCCCAGAATGAGCCCCAATTATCCAGGTATCTGAATCCCTCCCTCCTGCACCCTCCCTGTAGCCACGTGTTCAACTGTTCTCTTTCCCTATTCCTTGCCTCGCTAGCACGTGGCACAGGTAACAAACCAGAGATAACAACTCTGTTTGTTCTAGCTCTAAGCTTCCACCCTAGCTCCTTGAATTTCTGCCTTACATCCCCATCCCTTTTCCTACCTATGTCGTTGGTGCCTATGTGGACCACGACTTGGGGCTGCTCCCCCTCCCCCTTAAGGATCCCGAAAACACGATCTGAGACATCACGGACCACGGCACCCGGGAGGCAACACACCAACCGCAAGTCTCTCTCGTTCCCACAGAAAGTTTATACATTAGTTTATACGATGTGTTGGCAAATTACTATCGTGCATCTTGCAGATGGTACATACTACTGCTACTGGGCGTTTGTCATGAAGGGAGAGAATTTTGAAGGTGCTGGATGGTTGCCAATCAATCAGGCTGCTTTGTTCTGCATTGTGTCGAGTTTCTTGAGTGTTTCTGGAGCCGAATTCATCCAGGCAAGTGGGGGCTATTCCATCACCCTGCTGATTTATGCATTACAGATGGTGGAGAGGCTTCAGGGAAATAGGATGCAAGTTACTCCCTGCAGGATGCTGAGCCTTTGATCTGCTCTTGCAGCCACTGTATTAATACCTTTGATCACATTTAGTTTCTGGTCAATAATAACCTCTAGGACGTTGACAGCAGGGATTTCAGAGACATTAATGCCATTGAACATCAAGGGATGATGATTAGATTCTCTCTTGTTGGAGATGGCCATTGCCCAACAATTGTGTGGCATGAATGTTCCTTGCCACTTGTCAGCCCAAGTTTTGATATTGACAAGGTTGCTGCATTTGGACAGGGATTCCTTTGGTATCTGAGGAGTCGTGAATGATGCTGAGCATTACGCATTCATCAGGTAACATGCCAGTACTGAGGTCATGTATCACTTGAGACAATACACTTAAGGCAAAGTGTAGATGGGAATTAACAGCAACACCCTGTTCCATCTGCATCCAGTGCCAACATGAAATAGGCCTACCTTATGTACAGAATGAACCTGATTCAGCCCAATTCAACTGTTTTGGTGCCCTCTCTCTGTTGTAAGGGAATAGGAATACTGAAGATGGATCTCCGGATGCTTGCTGGTTGGAGTGATGGAAAATCAAGAGTTCATGGGATGCTGCAAGTCCCTCATCATGAGGGCTCACTGTCAACCGTCCTCCAAAGTGTCTTACAAACATCTTAATAATAGCTACCAACAGGTCAAGAAAGCAGCTCACCATCATCTTTCCAGGGTAACTAAGAAGAGGCTTTGGAACAGGAGTAGGCCATTCAGATTGATTTGCCTGTCCACAAATCATTTAGATCATGGCTGATCATACCACTATCCTGCACTAACCCCATATTTCCCAGTATCATTAGCATTCAGAAATTTACCAATTTCTGTCTTGAACCTGCTCAATGATTAAACTTCCACATGTCTCTGAGACAGAGAATTCCAAAGACTCTCTACAATATGAGCATCTCCTCAATCTCCATATTAAATGGCCAACTTTCTCTTTCTGAGATTCTCTCTCCTGGTTTAAGGCTCACCAGTCAGGGGAAACATCTGGTGTGTACTCCGCTCCAGCCACCTCTCATTCTTCTAAATTCTATGAAATACAGGTGCACTTTCCTCAATCTCTCCTCCTCATTTCCACCTTCCCAGTGATTAATCTGGTGAACCTCACTGACCTCCCTCTGTGGCAAGTATATCCTTTATTAGATCAGGAGACAGAATTGTATACAATACTCCAGGTGAGGTTCTAAACAACTGTAGCAAAACATCTTTATTTCATGTTCAAATTTCCTTGTAAGTAGCCAACAGACTACTTGCTTACCTAATTGCTTACTATATTGTCATACCCATTTTTCCTCCATTTCTTTGCTGCACCTCTATGCTTTTAGTGACTTCACAATGACACTAAACTAGGGGGAATAATGAATTGTGAGGATGATGCTGAGTGACTTCAGAGGGACATTGGCAAGTTGGTGAAATAGGCGGACGCCTGAAAAATGAATTTCAATGCAGAGGAATGAGAGGTAATGCATTTTGGAAGAAGAAACAGAGAGACAATATATGCTCAATGTTACAACTTTGAGGGGAGTACAAGAGCAGAGGGACCTCCGGTTCACTTGCATGATTTTCTGAAGGTGGCCAGGCAAGCGGAAACAGTTGTTGAGAAGGCTTATAGGATCATTGGGTTTATAAATAAAGATATATAGTATGAAACTGATGCTACACTTTGACAAGTCATTAGTCGGACTACATTTGCAGTAGTGCGTGCAGTTCAGAGCATCTTATTTAAGGAGGGATGCTAAAGCCCTGGAGAAAGGTCAAAGGAGACTTACTAGAATGATACCAGGAATGAGGGATTTTAGATACAAGGAAAGATTAGAGAGATTGGGTTTATTCTCCTTGGAGGAGGTACGATTAGGAGGTGACATTATTGAGGTGTTCAAAATTATGAACAATTTTTGACAGGGTAAAGAAGGATATTCTGTTTCCAATAGTTGATGTGTCGGTAAGTAGGGGGTCACAATTTCAAGATTATCAGCGAGAGAGCTAGGAGTGAGAAGTGGAGGAACTTGTTTACTCAGAGTTGTTAGGATTTGGAATGTGCTACCTGCGAGAATGGTGGAGTTGGATTCCATAGGAGGTTTCAAAAGACAGCTGGATATGTATTTGAAAGTGATGAAGTTAGAAGGCTATGGTGATAGGGCTAGAGAGTGGACTAGCTGGGAAGTTCTCTCAGGAGCCAGTGCGGACATGATGGGTCCAAAGTTCTCCTTCTGTACTGTAAAATTCTACTATTCTACAATACTCAGGTACCATTGGGACACCCGCATTTCCCATCCACTCACCATTTAAGAAATAGTCTGTTTCTTTTGTTACCAATGTAAATAACTTCACTCTCATTTGCATTATATTCCATCTACCATGTTCTAGTCCATTCACTTAATCTGTCCAGTCTTCTTGAAGCCTCTTTACATACTCCTCACAACATACATTTATACCCTGTTTGATGTCATCGCAAATCTGGAAATATGACAATTAGTCCCCACATCCAAGTAATTTATATAGATTGTGAACAGTTGTGAACCTAGTACCGACCCTTGCGGTACTCCATTGGTAACTGCCTGCCGTCTAAACATCTGTTTATTCCTACTTTCTGTCTACTAACCAATTCACAATCCAATCAAGACTAGTAGATTTCCCACCCCAAATCTTATTTACTAACCTCCAGTGTGGGACCTTATCAAACGTTTTCTGAAAATCCAAACATATCACATCCATAGGTCCTTCTTTTTTTTACATTACAAGTAACATCCTCAAACAAACTCCAACAAGTTTGTCAAAGATGATGCATCGTTCATAAATCCTGGTTGACTCTGCCCAACATTACCACTATTTTCTACATGTTAGGTTATTACATCATTTTTAATTGATTCTAACATTCTCCCTACTATTGACATCAAATTAACAAGTCCGCAGTCCTCCATTTTCCTTCTTATTCATTTCTTAAATACATGGACTACACTTGATGCTTTCCAGTTTCCAGGAACTTTCCCCACATCTATAGAATTGTAAAAGATAATCAACAGTGCACCCGCTATCCCTAACCATCTTGTTCAATACTTTGGGATGTAACTCACCTGGTCCAGGGGATTTATCAACCTTAATCCAGTTGACTTTTAAAGTGCTACCTCTTTATCAAAATAAATTTCTTTTCATTGTTCAGTTTCACAAATCCCTTGGTCATCTGGGAGATTTTCAATATCTTCTTCCATGAACACAAGCAAAATAACTGGCTAGTTTCTCCACCACTTCCCTGCTGTTTGCTATAAATTCTCTAGTCCATTCGTCCAAGCTAATCTTTTCACACTGATATACTTAAAAAAGATTTTACAGTCCACTTTTATGTTTCTCACTAGCATGCATTCATATTTTTCCCCCTTCCTTTATTTGTTTCTTGATCCTCTTCAGACTTACCACTTCTTTTGATCTGATGCAATTTTTAAACTTCTTTCATTAGCCACAGTTGATTCGCCATTCACTTTGAGTGTTTGTGCCTTAGAGGAAATTATCTCTATTGTGGACCATGTAGTATTTCATTGTCATTGTCTACTGTTAAATCTTTTATTGTATTTTCCCAAACTGTCTTAGCCCATTTGCCCCTTATTTTCTCAGATTTTTTTTTGTTCAGATGTAAGACCCCGGTTTCAGAATGAACTACGCTGTTTTCAAATTTAGTGTAAAGTTCTATCATATTATTATCACTATTTCATAAAGAGTCCTTCACAATGAGGTTATTAATGAGCCCTTTCTCATTACATAACATTAAATCCAAAATAACCCAATTTCTATTTGGCTCCTCAATGTACTGCGCCATCTCACGCACACTCCAGAAATTCCACCTATAGCATTAATGCTAATTTGGTTTACCTAGTCTGTATGTAAATTGAAGTTGGCCATTATTAATCTATTAGCCACATTATCTGCAACTCTAACTTCCTGATTGATAGTCAACCTTCACAATCTTCCTACAGTATGCACCCAGAACGAGAAACAATACTAGTTGTGTTTTATGTGGCTTAATACAACTTTCTTGCTTTTATTTTCGATGCATCTATGATAAAGTCCGGGATACAATTTGCTTCATTATATGCTCTTAATCTGTCCACAACTGACAGTGAATTATGCACTTACACACCCTAGTCCCTCTGCTCCAGTTCCTCCTTTAGAATTTCACCCTTAACTTCAAATTGTCTCTCTGTGCTTTTTCAATGAAAATGAATCATTCACACTTAATGAATGGATAAACTATCAGGAGAGAAGACCCTGATTCTATTCTTCTCATGCTGGCCCAACAACACTGAAGCCAACTAGCTCCACAAACGACCTGGTTCAGATCAGCTAACACAGCAGAGACTGAGATCGGAAGCTAGCACCCTCTAGGTCTTTCGTACACTTATCTACCTAGAAAACATATCAGGAAAAGAACTCCAATCTACTTATCAGAGCAAAGCTTTGTAAAGTGATATCATATTGGGGAGGAAACTGGCTACAAATCCGAAGATTTAGAATTATCTGAGCAAGCCCCAATGTTCAGGTTGCGTTCATAGTTTAATCATCAAGGAAGAACAGTTCGTATACTGTAAAAACTGGACTTTTTTCACAATGTCGTCTACGTTGGGAGCATACAATTAGCTCTACAATGGCTGCTTACAACGGGTCTTTATTTAGGTGTAGCATGCACCAGGAAGATGTTGAAGAGTTGGAACACTTTTTTTTTTTACATGTTGCTTGCAAAATCAAGGACTGTGACATAGTTTTTGGAACTCAAAGTTGATTTTGAACGGTTTGAAAGATTCACTGTGTACAGCTCAGTGAGTCAGCATGGTATTTAATTGATTGAAAAAGAAGACACTGAAGGTATATTTGGAGACAATTAGGGAATTGAAACTTGACAAAAAGTACCAGTGTAATTATGAACAAAGATTGCACATTTGGCTTAAAATGAATAAAATAGAAGTTGACAATAAAGAAAATGTTTCCCTCACCTAAATAGGACCAAATGCTTTTGATGTAGTGACTAACAAGTGTTACCCCAGAGACTGCAGTATTTTATGGTCAAATTACAAAGATTCTCAACTGATAATACAGCATGTTTAAGAATTAAATTGCACAGAGAGCTGCATTCAAAGGAAGTAGTTGCCGAGGGAGATAGTAGCAGATTATGTTCTCCAGCTAATGAAACTTATTTGCTACTGTGGGCAGAGCACGAACTTAGAACTCAACCTTAAAGAAACATCTACAGAAGGCTGAAGAAACAATAAGATTCAGGCCAGCTTTTGAGAAAAGGAAATAAGCTAACGTGGGAAGGTTACTACAATGAGACCTAGGCTATAGAAATGGTATAATGGGAATACTTTTCCTGAGATGGCAAAGGAGATCCACTAGATTTCAATGAGATCCAGACCACAAAAGATGAGAAATGATCCATGGTCAGACACAAGAAAACACTGGGAACGAATATATGTGGATTTCTTTGAGGTGAAAAGCAACTTGCTTTGGTCAATAGCTAAAGCAAATAGATAAATGTTGAGAGTCTACACCCAATACCAAACTGCCAAAACTGCAGAGGTCTTGAAAAGCTGTTTAGCAATTTATGGGTTGCCAAAGGTGCTGATGTCAGATAATTGCCCACAGTTTATGTTAGAACAGTTTGAAATATTTCAGAGCAAAAATGGAATTAACCATTTATAATATCACCATTTCACCCAGCATCAAGAAGTGCTTCAGAAAGAAGTATGTAGATAGTTAAGAAAAAAATGGAAAAATAAATATTCACAAGTTGATAAACTAGGTAGTCATTTCCATGTTTACCCTATGACACAGATTAAAACAATCTTCTGTTCCCTTACAGAACAACCCACAGTCTACAACAGGTTGCTCATTTATGGGTTAATGTTTAAACACCGTCCAAGGACAAGGACTTAAACCTAACATCAATAGCAAAGTAAGAGCAAGACAATGTAAAAATGAGTCATGGTGCACCAGGCATGAAATGTTCAGTGCTTGTCAAAAGATCATGGTGAAAAAACACCAAGGTGAGAAAGGAAAGTACATGCTTAGAGTTGTTGTAGACAGACTAGGTGCAATCACTTAGAAAAATGGAGAGTCAGTGTCATGTAGATCATTTGCTTGAATGAGGAGGAGTGACAAAAGGAAAGTATGATAAAATTCCTACACTCCAAATTTAACGAGACAAAGGTTTTCATTAATGCGAATCAGTATCAGAGCTCCAACCATTAAGTGGAATTGTTCATCAAAGTAAATACTCAGATTTGACACAATTAGAGATGCTGAGAGAGCAGAATCAAGCTGTAGGAAATAGGAGACACGCTCGCTGAAAGAGAAACAGCCAGATTGGTTAACTGAAAGATTGCAGGAAGGAAGAACAAATAAATTATTTTTATTATTTATCAAATAATATTTTTGTGAAATACATACTGATATTAAAGAAAATTTTTCATTGACATTTAAATTACTGGGGCAATTTTAGACACACATTTCTGTTGTGAATACAAATTTGCAACCCAACCTGTTAAAATTTTAAGGTATTGTTGATGCCGGAACATTGTTTTCTGAGAATAGAAGAACCTGCATCGGTCTTTATTTTAAAGCAGACTTTGTTTTTATTAGTGGAGAGAAATGAAAATGTAAAATCTGAGCATTTTGTCATACAGCTCTCTCTGTTGGGGTGATGTAAAAGACAGTTTGACAAAGTATGCTTACAGTGAGACAACATGCGAGACTTTTGTCAGTGCAGTATTCAATAAATATGAGGTCACCTCACAGGTGTTAAAAAACTCACCTTCATTTTTGTCTATTTTGTTGATCATCCGTCTCAAAGGGTCAATGTACTTTGATAGCTGTTTTAGTTTGTCCAGGTACTGCTGTTCCTCAGTCTGTGTCCGGCCGGCTGGGCTGGGAACCGAGCCAGGGTTCACTGTAACACCAAAGGAGGATGCTTAGCTTGGATTTCAGGCTCTTTATAAAGCAGTGCAGGAATTTATGGCGACATTATTTCCTATACCTTGTAATGTTTTAGACACACACACAGTTAAGACAGAGCAAGACTCTGAAACTTACACAACTGTTAGCCTGCCAGCAATCTGATCTGGTAGAGAGTGCTACCATATGGTATTTAGTCTGCTACAGGGATACTGAGAGCTGGTATCTACTCTGGTACATGGTCACTGGGAGCTGGTATCTACTCTGGTACAGAGTCACCGAGAGCTACTACTTGTTCCAGTGCAGAGTCACCGAGAGCTGATATCTGCTCCAGTACAGGATTACCGAGAGCTGGTATCTGCTCCAGTACTGAGGTACCTGCAGAGTCCAGTACAGGATAAATTTGGTTTGGTAACTACTCCAGTGCAGAGATACCAAGACCTAGTATTTGCACCAGTTAAGTGTGAGCCACCAAGCCAATGTACCAGTCACAACACACAGTATGGCCTAATTAGGGACAGTCAGCATGGCTTTGTGCAGGGCAGGTCATGTCTTATTAACTTGATTGAAGTTTTTGAGGTGGTGACAAAGATGGTTGTTGAGAGTACAGCAGTCGATGTCGTCTACACGGATTTTAGTAAGGCTTTCAACAAGGTCCCTCATAATAGGCTCATCCAGAAGATTAAGATACATGGGATCCGTGGTGACTGGGCCATGTGGATTCAGAATTGGCTACCAATAGAATGCAGAGGGTAGTGGTGGAAGTATGTTTTTCTGGCTGGAGGTCTACGACGAGAGGTGTTCAGCAGGGATCCGTACTGGGACCTCTGCTGTTTGTGACATATATAAATGATTTGGATGGAAACATAAATGGGTGGGTTGATAAGTCTGCAGACGATATAAGATTGGTACTGTTGTGGATAGTGTAAAAGGTTGTCAAAAGATACAGTGGGATATAGATCAGTTGCAGATATGGACAGAGAAGTGGCAGCTGGAGTTCAAGCCAGATAAGTGTGAGGTGCTGCACTTTGGGAGACCAAATGTTAAGGAAAAGTACACAGTTAATGGCAGGACCCTGAACAGCATTAATGTACAGAGGGGGTCCATAACTCCCTGAAAGTGATCACACAAATTGATAGGATAATAAAGGTGATGCATGGCATGCTTCCCTTTTTATTGGTTGGGGAATTGAGTACAAGAGTCAGGATGTCATGTTGCAGCTTTGTTAAGACTTTGGTTAGGCCACACGTAGAACAGTGCGTTTAATTCTGGTTGCCACATTACAGGAAGGATATGGATCCTTTGGAGAGGGTACAGAAGAAGCTTACCAGGATGCTGCCTGGATTAGAGGCATGAGCTTTAAGGAGAGGCTAAAAAAAACCTGGGTTGTTTTCTCTGGAGCGTTGGAGGCTGAGGGGAGGCTTGATAGAAGTTTATAAAATTATGTGATGCATAGATATGGTTGATGGTCAGAATTTTTTTCCGAGAGTTGAAATGTTTAATACTAGGGGCATACATTTAAGGTGAGGGGGGAAAGTTCAAGGTGACGTGAGGGGCCAGTTTCTTTTTACACAGAGAACGGTAGGAGACTGGAACGCTCTGCCAGGGGTAGTGGTGGAGGCAGATACAATAGTTTAAGGGCTTTTTAGATAAGCACATGAATATGCAAGGAATGGAGGGATATGGACCAAGGGCAGGCAGAAGGGATTAGTTTAATTTGGCGTCATGTTCGGCACAACATCATGGGCCGAAGAACCGGTTCCTGTGTTGTATAGTTCTATGTTCTATAACATCTGACACAGGAAGCAAATGTGGACCACAAACTCCAACAATTACGAGCCATTTACACAAGACTCCAACCTTTTTTTTTTAAACAAAGAATAGTGCCACTTTGTAAATGCTTGTCCATTTACACTTACTTTTCAGTACCATAGGCTCTTGGTTTATCTCCTCTCCATTTGACAGCAGTTCTCAGCCCCACACTGTGGCAGCCTTACTGATACTGGTTCTCAGCCAGTGGGAACTCCTTTACAGATCAGTGTCTAATCACAGGGCTCATTAATAAAACTGTGTCTGGTACACACTTCAGGTATCACACTTACAGCTCTACAACTAAAAATTTTAAAACTGGGCCCAAATTCAACAGCATTTGGAATAAGCAGAATTATGGACTTAATTGAGTGTGCAATATTAATGTGCATTGCAATGTGGACAAAGTAATTTCACACATTTCTGTTAGATACTGGCACTCTCATCATAGCGCAAGGATTGAATGTCTGTCATGTTTAAAAATGCAAATTAATTTGATTCACTAGATATTGATTGTGGGTACAATATTGATATTAACTCTCAAGTCGCAGTAAGGCCATGAAATTCATTGCTAGCTGATATTTAGATGAAGACTCCTGTAAATGTAGTAGGGATGGGAGTGGAGGCATTATAGCTCCTGTAAGACATCAGAAGGAAGGGCTTGCTCAAAATGAAGAAACTAGTATTACGCCCACTCCCCCAACCTCACTGATTCCAATGGGTAAATTTTTAAAATTTATTCGTTCATGGGATGAGGGCATCGCTGACCAGGCAGTGTTTATTGCCCATTCCTAATTGCCTAGAGGCAGTTCAGAGTCAACCACATTGCTGTGGGTCTGGAGACACATGGAGGCCAGACCAGGTAAGGATGGTAGTTTCCATCCCTAAAGGACACTAGTGAACCAGATGGGTTTTTCCGATAATCAACAATGGATTCATGGTCATCATTAGATTCTTAATTCCAGATATTTTATTGAATTCAAATTCCACCAACTGCCATGGCGGGATTCAAACCAGTGTCCCCAGAATGCTATCTGGATCTCTGGATTAACAGTCCAGTGATAATACCACAATGCCATTGCCTCCCCTAATGTGTCACTCTGCGGTTCAGAGAACATGAAGTACCAGTGTTGACTCTGGGTTGGTGCAGCATTGGTTGATGTCAGCTCAGCTATCAATGGACAGGACAAGGCATCCCTAGACTGGCAATGTTAGGAGTAAATGAACAGGAATCTTTGCTCTTGCTGCTGTGATACAAACTATAGGCTTGTTGCTGTTAAGCAGAGAGAGCTGGCCCACTGTGGCTTCCCACAATGTTGAATAGCCTACCAAAGTTACATACCATCACGATCAGAGTCAAGCAGGTATTGAAAGAAACCAAACTGGTCAACAAAATAAACACATCAGAGAAACCCACTGTTGTTCTACTTCAAGCAGAGAGCTACAATAAACATTCACCTCCTACTTTTAATCTTGCTAAGATGTGCCTCTGACAGTTAACTCAATTGCAGGCCTCTTCTGATGCTGAACTGAATGATCAGGGTACAGTCAGCCACCTGGGAAAGTCATGTGGCATTAACATGACTGGCAATGACTGTGCCTGTCACCCACTGCTCAGAATTTTTCAATGGTGTACAGCATCATGAGTGACATATGGCTGATGACCACCTTCAACACTGTTTCAAACCAGGCAAGCTGTCAGCACAGCTTGGAGATGGTGCCATTGCACTTCAAATTGAATCCAAAACAACGTTATGCCACAGGTATCAGTCTTTCTGTTAATGGGATGGAATGACAGAATTGTTATGGCATAGAGGATGCCATTTGCCCAATCTTGCTTGCATCGGCTCGTCAAACGAGCATTATTACCTGGTGCCAATCTCCTGCTTTCTCCCCATTTCCCTGCACATTTTCTATCCAAATAATCATCCAGTGCCCTCCTTGAACGCCTCCACCACAATTGCAGGAACTGCATTCAAGACCCTAACTAATCGATACGTGAAAAAGTGTTTTCTCACATTATTCTTGCTTTGTTTATTCATCACTTTAATTCTATGACCTCTCATTCTTATTCCATTTACAAATGGTCCAGCCCACTCATGATTTTCAATACCTCTACTAAATCTCCTCTCAGCTTTCTCCTCTCCAAGGAGAACAATCCCAGCGTCTTCAATCTATCCTCAGAAACGAAGTTTCGCATTCCTGAAACAATTCTTGTAAATCACTTCTGTACTTTCTCCATTCACATCCGTCCCAAAATGTGGTGTCCACAACTGTACACAATCCTCCAGCTGAGGTCTGACAAGTGTATTCTACAAGTTCAGCAACACCTCCTTGCTCTTGTCCTCTATGCCCATATTAATACAGCTGAAGCCACTGTATGCTTCCATTTGCCCTGCTGCCTTCAATGATCTATGCACATATATACCCAGGTCCCTCTGCTCCTGCACCCCTTTAGAATTGTCCTCCCTATTTAATGTTGTTTTTCAGTGTTCTTCCTACAAAAGTACATTACCTCACTGTTCTCCACAATGAACCTCATCTGCCACTTTTCCACCCAAACAACCAACCTGTCAATGTACTTTTGGAATTTCACACTGTCCTCCTCACAAGACAGATGATTCTAGACAGCGTAAGACAATTAAAAGTAAGATGTTGTCAGGTGCTATAACTTAACTTAACAAGATAATTGTAAACACCATACCTGGAGTATTGAGGGGGCCTGGGGAAGGGACACTGAAATTCTGCGGTGTCCGTGCTGCAGCTGGACTCTGCGTCGTCTGTGCTGATGGACTTGGCAGGAAGGCACTTGGTGATGGAGCTGGACCAGAACTGCAATAGATCAGTCAGAGTTGTATTGCTTTTTGACAGTCAGTGGACATATCCCACAATATCTCTCATTGCAGGAGATTTCACAACTGGTTTAGCAAAAACCGTCAATCTTCTTCCAACATGCTTTTCTGGTAAAAAAACTCAATAACTTTAATTCTCTTTGAAGCCCAAATCTGTGCAAAAGCTCAAACACTACTGTCATTTTTGGAAAATGTTTTTTGTTTCACTCTTGCTCATTTCATGATAGGCAATTCCATTCCCACTCTACCCTTCCATATCAATACCACCTCCCTCAAACCTTTTTCTATACCCAAGTTTCATTCTACACACACTGCATGCCGAAATCAGGGCTCACTGCAGTATCCTATTTCCATTCATGCTTTGCTATGAGCTTAAAAACAGGAGCTTTGGGCTTTTTTGAGTCTATGACTTTCAGAATTAAAATACCACTTTGGTGTTACCAAACCATCAAGTTTGAGCTTTGCACCTTGCTTTCTTCATAAACTTAATATTCCCTCTGTATTATCTAGACTGTCTGTTCTTGAATGGCTCAGGCACATCCTATTTACAATTCCTCGCAGTGATCCATCTAGAACTTCAAAAAGAGACATCAGTCCAATCCATCTCCAGGTCCAAAAATACATTATTTATTGCATTCATGGAGGAAAAGTTGATCTTTAGTATTCTGTTTTAAAAACACCAGTTGCATTGTTTCCTTAAATATGTATATCGACCACATTTTCCTCGGATCAATGCTACGACAGTGTTTAATTAAGATGTTTCTTGCCCTTTAAACAGTTAAAAGGTATAGATGGTTTAGAACCTGGTGTACCCAAACTATCCTCATGAGTGTCTCTGCGTGATGCTGGTAAAATAGTATGAATACTTAGATACTAAAAGTGAGGCTAGTTATAGTTTAATATAAAAATTACAGCTGGTCCAGAGAGTTTAAGTCAGGTTGGCATATTAAAGCCAGTCACTGAATGACGTGGTCCCTCAGAGAATACACCGTCACTTAACGTTGCATGAATGAATTACACTTTAAGACCTTAATGACGGTAATTACTTCATCATTGATGTACACTTAAAACTACAAAGAACAGGACAAAATAAGGTGGATAAATGCACACCTGGCCAAAACAACAATTCAAAAGTGATTTCACATCACACAGAATTTGATTTCCTGACAGATCAGTTAAGTACATGTTATGCATTCCACCTTAATTGTGCAGATCTTAATCTGGATGTAGTGAATTTGCAAAAGGAAAGTTAAAATATCTTAAATGGCTATACTCTTAATAGCAACAACTTGTTTTCAATATGGCACAGTACAAGTATATCTTTTAACCTTTGTACACTAAAGAACATTGAAAATGCATCAACGTCCCCAATTCACGAATGTCACAAGAAGGAAGAGTAAAAGAATATTGTAGATAACTGTGTACCAATCTTACCATTTTTCTGTAATCTCTCTTCCCTACCAATTTTCACACTAACCAGTTCTGATGAGGTATGACTCAACTGAATGATGGAGCAGGCTTAGAGAATGATCTACTCCTGTTACGATTTCTTATGTTCTTCTGTTGTTCCAGTAGTGCTTGTCCTGGAACAGGATAACGTAGCTTCCATACTTATTAGCAAATGCCTTAAAATCCATATATATAATATTTATAGATTATCCCCTATCTACTACTTTAGTCAACTTTTCAAAAAAATTCAGAAGTTTTTCAGACATGACCGACCCCTTATTGACTCTAATTCCTGAAGTATAAAGTGTTCAATCATATTAAACACCACCACAAATGTCATACTCATGCCTAATATTCTATCCACCTTCCTGACCTTTGTCTCAGCCTGAACAAGTCTGCCTGTACCACTGGCAATCTATTCAATCCCACCTTGATCTTTCCCATCAGGAATACCGTCTAGTATCTACACTGTACACTATATTATTCATTTTCACTGATGAAACCCTCAAACACGTTTTTTAAAATCATTTTCACACTACTATTCTCATAGTGTCTTGGCGTGCTTTCCACATATTCTGTAAACTCTACTTCAACCAAAGCTCTGCTCCCTATATGCTGTCCTGCACCACATATTCTTCACCAACCACACCTGTCTTTGCTGAAACAAACACAGGGCACTGGAGAAACTTGCCATGTCTGGCAGCATCTAGGGAGACAGAAACAGGGTTAATATTTCGAGACCGGTATGACTCTTCCTCCAAACTCTTAACAATCATATCAGACTTGAAACACTAACCCTGTTTCTCTATCCACAGATGCTGCCAGACTGGCTGAATTTCTCCAGAAGTCTGTTTGTTTCAGATTTCCAGCATTCCTGCAAGGTTTTGTTTTTAATCCTGTTTTTACAGGTTTTGGATCTCTGTCTTTTAACGTCTCAAATTTAAAACTCTTACTTCTCTTCACTTTACCACTGAAGACAATGTCATAAGTCCTCTTGGCTCCACAGTCTGGAATTCACTCCCTAAACCACATCATCACCTCCGGCTCCTCCTTAAAAAAACCTCTGTTGAAGTGCTTTAGTACATTTTTCTACAATAACGGCACTGTGTAAATGAAAGTTGTACAAACATGAAAGGAGACTTAATGCAAGATTTCAGCGAAGTATATTCAAACTAAGGGCTTCCAGCACTACAGTTACTAACTTAGGGCACTATTAGGTTATGGGGCAAAACCAGTGAAACAACATTAGACGTTGGAGTATAGCCAGCGGATCATGCTATTAAACTGACAATTAGACAATGCAAAACATTAATAGCTTAAACAAAAATTGATAATTTGAACACTTTCAGACTGTGATATTCACACTATAATTAAACAGACAAATAACAACATTAACTTAGCAGGCAGGTGGGACTAGTTTAGTTTGGGATTATGTTTGGCATGTACTGGTTGGAGCAAAGGATCCGTTTCCATGCTGTATGACTCTATATTATTTTAAACAAGCAAAATCTTTTACTTGCACTCCATGCTGAAAATCAGCAATATATATAACAAACAAAGAAAAGTACTATAATTTTATAAAGACAGCACACAGCAAGACAATGCATACTTCATCTCCTGATTGCTTTGCCAGTGGACACTCGATTGCCAATTAATACCAACATTATTTATTTTAAAGAACCCCATTACCATGAAAGTAAGAACACAAACTACAGTAGCAGCAACACATTCAAACCCCAGTCCCTCAAATCTGGGATGGAGGGAATATTCAATAAAATAGCTCCTGAAACATCCTTAACAGCACTTTAGCCTCCCATGTTAGTTCTTCTATTGATATTGCAAAGTTAACAAATTACAGAACTTTTACTGAAAAAGTGACAGCTCAGAGATGGTGCTGAGCAGCAAATAAGGCCACCTTACCAGTATTGATCAAATTTTCAAGAACATCTATCCTGCCTGCTTCAATGTGCTTCTCAGAATTTGTTCTCTGTAGAAACATGGCATTGAAAGAGTCAAAACATCTTATTTCACTCACCTCACAGAGCTCTGCTGGGATGAAGGTGGCTGAGGAGATGGCTGTGGCTGCGGTGGTGGAAGCATCGTCTGCGCTTGCTGAACTGGAGAAGGTATCATGGCAATCGCATTGTTAACCTGTAGTTAGGCAGACACAAGCAATGCAGGCAATGAACACCTACAATTTCACAGGACACACCTCCTGCATCCTTCTTCATCTGCTACTAGCACAGGCTGCAGAATTACCTTGCAGGACAGAGTGCTGTCTTTAAATACCTATCCCACATCATCACAAAACCTTGTCACCGCTCTCTATAGGTTACTAAGACAAATCTACAATGCCCTACCAACCAAGTCTGAGTTGAGATTTGGTTGGATTGATTAAAAATAATTGTGAATCAGAGGAAATTTCCTCTTCTCCCCCTCCTCCAAGACGATACACTGTTTTTGTTTGACAACCCTTCAAAAGTATCTTGTTAGCCACAAAGCACTTTGGGATAGCCCGAGAATGCGAAAAGTGCTACATAAATGTAGGTTCTTTGTCTGCTGTAGTCAAAATGCAGCAAAGCCAAGTTCAAATCGGAAGAGTTGCTACAGCCACTTCAAAGCTACTAAGCTATACTTGATGTGGAGGTGCCAGTGTTGGACTGGGGGAGACAAAGTCAGAAGTCACATGACACCGGGTTATAGTCCAACAGGTTTATTTGAAAACACAAGCTTTCGGAGTGCAGTTCCTTCGTCAGGTGCAGCGAAGCACACAGAACACAGAGTTTATAGGCAGAGAGCTCAAGGGCAGAAAGATCAAAAGATCATACAACTGGTGTGAGTGGACAAAATTGAGCAACACTTCTTTGCTGCGCAGGATCTCTGACCAATGCTACACGCCAGATACACTGACGATATTTTCTTCTTTTGGACTCGTGACGTGGAATCACTGAAACAACTACATACTGATATCAAAAAGTTTCATCCCACCAGATTTACCACAGACTACTCTTCGGAATTATTCTCATTCTTGGACACACGCATCTCCATCAAGGACAGATACGTCAGTACCTCACCCTACTGCAAGCCCATGGATAACCTCACCATACTGCGCTTCTCTAGCTTCCACCCTAAATATATTAAAAAAATCCATCTCTCACAGACAAGCCCTGCACATACACAGGATCTGCTCAGATGAGGAGGAATGTGACAGATACCTAAAGGTTTTGAAGGATGCCCTCATAAGAACGGGATTTGATGCTCAATTCATCGACTGCCAGTTCTGACGTGCCACATGAAAAACCGCAATGACTTCCTCAGGAGACTGACACAGGATACAACCGATAAGAGTACCCTTCATCGTCCAGTACTTCCCCGGAACGGAAAAACTACGCCATGTTCTTTGCAGCCTTCAACATGTCATTGATGACAATGAGCATCTCGCCAGGGTCTTCCCTACGCCTCCACTTCTCGTCTTCAAACAAACCTTAAACAGACCATCATTCACAGCAAATCGTCCAGCCTTCAGGACAATATTGACCACAACGCCACACAACCTTGACATGACAACCTCAACAAGGCACATCAGATCATCGACATGGATACTACCATCACATGTAGGAACACCACCCACCACGTACACAGCAGATACTCATGTGACTCGGCCAACGTTACCTGTCTCACACGCTGCAGGCAAGGATGCCCCAAGATGTGGTATACTGGCGAGACTACGCAGACACTATGACAACGGATGAATGGACACTGAGCGACAATACCAGACATGACTGTTCCCTTCCAGTTGGGGAACACTTCAGCGGCCAAGGACCTTCAGCCTCCAATCTTCAAGTAAGTGTCCTCCAAGGCAGACTTCGAGGTACACAACAATGCAGAATCACTGAGCAGAGATTGACAGCCAAATTCCGTACCCTTGAAGACAGCCTCAACCGTGATTATGGGTTCATGTTGTGCTACAGGTGACCCCCACCACACTTCTGTATCTGTAAAACCTTCCTTACCGTCCTGTTTTGACAGCATCACCTTGATAAATTGTTATGATCTCTCTACCTTAATTAGTTTGTACAGTTCTGAATTACTTATTACTTTGGTTAGTCCCTCAGCATGCAACTCTCATACCTGCCATGTTATTCCATTCATTCAGTTTGTCTCCAGCACCACCTTATTTTTAATGTTTTGTAATTGTGCACAGTTTTGGGCCCCATATCTCAGGAAGGATGTACTGGCCCTGGAGCAGGTTCAGAGGAGGTTCACGAGGATGGCCTAAGGAATAAAAAGCTTAACACATGAGGAACATTTGAGGACTCTGGGACTATACTCATTGGCGTTTAGAAGGATGAGGGGGGATCTAATTACAGAATACTGAATGGCCTAGCCTGAGTGGATGTTGGGAAGATGTTTTCACTTGTAGGAGAGACTAGGGCCCGAGGGCACAGCCTTAGAGTAAAGGGAAGACCTATTAGAACGGAGATAAGGAGAAACGTCTTCAGCCAGAGAGTGGTGAATCTATGGAATTCACTGCCACAGAATGCTGTGGAGGTCAGGTCATCGAGTACATTTAAGACTGAGACAGATAGGTTCTTGATTATCAAGGGGCTCAAGGGTTACGGGGAGAAAGCGGGAGAATGGGGTTGAGGTACTTATCGGCCATGATTGAATGGCGGAGCAGACTCGATGGGCTGAATGGCCTAATTTCTGCTCCTATGTCTTATGGTAATTATCTCCTGGCTCAATTAATCGGATTATAGGTCATCCCTTCGCAGGTTATTCAGCCGTTGACACTTTACTCACACTGTCTAACACTCTTGGTCACCTGCAGAGACTTATTATCTGACACTCCACTCACACCAACTGCATGATCTTTTGATCTCTCTGCCTACAAATTCTGTGCCTGTGTGCTTCTCTCTCACTGCACCTGATGAAGGGGCAATGCTCTGAAAGCTTGTGATTTAAAATAAACCTGTTGGACTATAACATGGTATCATGTGGCTTCAAGCTATACTTGCATTGTGTAGCCTTGGGAAGCTACAGCAGATTCTCCGACAATTAGTTCTTTCCCAGCTGAATAATCTGCTGTGAACAAAAAAAACTATCCCAAGAGACTTTAAAAGAAAATGGTTTACAGTTGTGGCTTTGAAGAACTGCAGTTAGATGGCAGGATAGAATTAAAATGCACATCAGAAGCTCCTGGGATTAATCTCTGCTCTGTGTTGAGGCCGTCAGCCCAAAGGGCTAACACAATTAGTTACAGTACCTCTGGTCTGGAGAGAGTTTGAAAAGAAAATCAGCCAAGGTTGCTAGCCAATGGTTCCTGCTGAATTTCACATGAGCAAACATCAGAGGAAGGCAGATTAAGCTTGGACAAAATATCCGCAGGGGCAAAGACAACAATGTGGTGCTCCGAGTCTCCTTACAGAGGGACCTTGGTCAATTTCCCCTATTTAAACCATTCAATCTTTATAGCTTGCACTGTAGCACATGTTAGCATCTCCTAAAAACGAGGATGAAAATTATGCAAAGACAGTAGAATCAAATGGGAAGATAATGGATAATGATAAGAATTTGGATATCCTCTTAAGAAGAAATATACTTGAGTGATGCAGAAACTGAGAGAGACATTTAGAGAGTGCATTAGTGCACAGAGGGCAACATAATCAAGTTGAGTAGAGTGAGCAGGTTGGCAGCAGATGCAGTTTACTGTCCCCAAAAATGCAACAAATTTTGAGAAGTACGAAATGTATTGTGAACGGGAAAGTAGAGGATTAGGAAGGTTGTGAGGCGTAGATACATAGATCATTCAAAGCTGGCAGTGAAGGTAGGAAAGGCCATAATATAAATAAGATTTTGGATTTTATACATGGATGCATTATAAAAGAAGTGACACTCATACGAGGCACAGCCTTAAGCCGCCCTGAAGTACTGTTGTGGAGAACATACATACCAACTAATTAGGAGTAGGTCATGCAGACCTTTCAGCCTGCTCCACTATGCAATGAAGTCACGGTTGATGGGATTATGGCTTCAAATCTATGATTCTGTCTACCCTCATTACCTTTGACTCCCTTGTTAATCAATAATCTAACTCACTCTTAAAGCTCTCTCCACTGGTCTCTAAGGCAAAGAACTCCAAAGACTAACAAACCTCAGAAAAAAGTCTTCTCATCTCCACCTAAACTGGGAGACCCTTTATTTTTAAAATTATTTCCCCTCATTCTAGTTTTTCTGCTAAGACAAAACATTCTCTCAGCATCCAACCAGTCAAGACCCTTCATATCTTTTACACTTCAATAAGATTAATTCTCATTTTTCCAAATTCCAATGGATGAAGATCCAATCTATCCATAGTTTCCTAAGATAACACTTCATTCCAGGAAATTACTCAAATAAATCTCCGAACTGCTTCGAATACGTTAATATATTTTCCTTAATAATAAGATCAAAATTGTACACAGCATTCCAATTGTGGTCTCATCAATGCCCTGTACAACTGTAGCAAAACAATGCTACTTTTCTATTCAATTCTTTTTGCAATAAAAGCCAACATTCCATTTGCCTTCCTAATCATTTGCTGTCCTGCTTTCCTAACTTTTTGTGATTGACATACCACAGGACATCCAAATACCCCTCTATCACAGAGCTCTTCTGCAATCTTTCTCTCTCTACTTAAATAATATGCTGCCTTTCTATGAAAACTGACAAGTTCATCTTTTTGCACATTATCATCTGCCTATTTTTTGATCATTTAGTTATGAGTCCCTTAGTAGATTCCTTATATCATCTTCATAATCTATTCTCATGCCTGTCTTTTGTATCAATAGTAGATTTAGGGATCATACATTTGGTTACTTCATCCATGTCTTTGATGTAGATTTGTAAATAGTAGATTTGTAAATAGTTGAGGCCCCAAAACATATCCTTCTGGAACTCCATTAGTTCCCTTTTGCCAACGCAAAATTACGAATAAATTCCTGCTCTCTATTTCATGTTAGGTAACCAATCCTCTACCAATACTAATATGTTACTGCCAACCATGGGCTCTGATTTTGTATAGTAATCTTTGATGAGGCACCTTACAAAATTATGGGGATTCAAGTATACTGCCTCTACAGGTTTTCCTTTACAGGTATTACTACTTATGT